ATTGTACTTATTTATTAGCACTTCCAGTTCTTCCTGTTTATTTCCCACACTTCTCGCATTTGTATATAGGTGACACTGGCCTTTTCAGAGGGAAGAGACCAGCACACCTGTGACTGGTCAGCTGACTCACTCGAGTTTAATTATAGAAGGCACTTGGGCAAATCACATCTGAGAATCAGTAAGGAATGGGAATAGACAATGGGGTTCTTACTACTGGCTCCATAGATATAAGGAGACAGTCTAAAAGCCAGGAAGCCTGGGTAGTGGGAGTAGGAGCAACAGAAACAGAAAGTTCCATGCGAATGGCTGACAGAATCCCCACAGAGGGGATGCCATGAGAACCTGTTGGGGAAAAAAGGATTTCCAGGAAGAGAGCACTGGAAGGCAATGCTAAGCTCATACACTATGAGAGAACCCTGCAAAGGCCCAAAAGCAGAAGAATTAAGAGAAGCAAAAGGGAAAATCCCTGAGAACAACAGGCCCAGTTGAGCTCGGGAACTATGTTTGAGAGAGGGTTTAGTTTACCTATATTTGCAGGGAGAAAGTGCCTGGAAAAGAGCTTTTGAGAGTAGCAGTGGTTCCTTTGCTAGGAAGGATGAGAACCTTATAGTATGGTTCTTGGAACATTTTTCTAGACACCTATATACACAAAAAAATGAATTGGAAGGACCAGATAAAATAGGTCCTCTCAATCAGAACAGCCATGTTACCAAGCTGTTACAACTTAGTCTTTTTATGGTCATGTGTATATTTAAATCTGAAATGTCATGGTGTTATAATTGTAGAGGTTCTGACCCAAAAAATAATTGTGTGAGGGTTGCAAGGTTATTGTAGGGGCTGTTGCAGTACTGCTACCCTTACTTCTGTGCCGCTTTTGGTGGCAGTGCTGCCTTCAGATCTGGGCAGCAGGCGAGTGGTGGCTGGTAGCTGGGAGTCTAGCTCTGAAGGCAGAGCTACCACCACCAGGAGTACAGAAGTAAGGCAGGCATAGTATGGTACTGCCACCCTTACTTCTGCACTGCTGCCTGCAGAGCTAGGCCCATAGTCAAAGGCTGCCATGCTCTGGGTGCCAAACTCTGAAAGCAGCAGTACAGAAGTAAGAGCAACATGGTTATGGTATGGTATGATATGGTATTCCACCTTTACTTCTGCACTGCTACTGCTTTCAGAGCTGGGCACACAGCCAATATTACAACCACCGCTCTGCAGTTGCCCATCTCTGAAGGCAGGACAGAAGTAAGGGTGGCAATACCATATGCCTCCTAATATAACCTTGTGGTCTCCTTCGACTCTCTTTTAGTTCCAAACCCCCAATTTGAGAAACACTGGTCTTCCCTTTGAAATCTGTATAGTATAAAGTAAAAGCACAGAAAAGGTCAGATTCCACAGAAGGACACCAGATTTCACAGTCCGTGACACATTTTGTGCAGCTGTGAATTTGGTAGGGCTCTAGCAATAATGGTAAAACAGACCAAGTTCCAACAGCTTCTGGCTTTTTTACCACTGTGTCTATACCACAACCCGTTAGAGCCTTTACTACATGAGAGATTTCACCAATGTGAATTTTTTCTCTAAAAATCCCAGTTGTACGCATGTCCATAAAAAGACAAAGGTAGCAACATAATCTGGTAAAATAGTAGTACATGGCTTAATCCCAGCATCTACAGAGGCAACCCTAAGTCATCAGAATTTGTAGCGTGGATTTGCTTTTAATATGTTAATAGTGTTGCAGGCATAATATTCCATTTTGTTCAGAATATCTCTTCATTCTTACCCCCCGTTTTCGTTCACTTGCTTCTTTGCCAGAAAATTAGTTCTGAATCCAACATATTTTCTTTCAGTCCAAGATTATCTTAGCTTTTGAAAGTCAGAAGGAATTTTATTCACCAGATTTAAAGTCATTCACCCATACAATGAAAGTTTTCACTAGATGATGCACTTCTCGTGTACTCTTTAAAAAATGTTTAATAGTAATAGAGAGGTAGTCGTGTTAGTTTTTCCCTTTTGCTTGAGCAAGATCATACTATGTAGCACTTTAAAGACTAACAAGATGCTTTAATAGGTGATGAGCTTTCATGGGCCGGGCCAAACCCACTTCCTCAGAGAAGTGGGTCTGGGCCAGCCCACAAAAGCTCATCACCTATTAAAGCATCTTGTTAGTCTTTAAAGTGCTACATCGTTTTTCCTTTTGTTTTAAAAAATCTTTCTACTTCATGTTTGTATTAACAGCTGTTCATTAAAAACTTCAGCATTACAGTATTGGTTAAAAATACTATTTTTGCTTTCATTTTTTTCCAAACAGAAATTAAACCTTATATTGTTGGGACAAATGCAGAAACATCACCATCAACAATTACAAGTATTGAACAGATTCTGTAAAGCTTTGTTTACTGTAGAAAGGGTTTGCTGTTATAGCTACAATGGCAAAGATTTCTAGCAGAGACTCAGCTCATACCAACAAAGGAATTGTTTTGCTCTGCCCTCAAATGACATAAGCTACATGACAAAGTCTTTTTTTTGTTTGTTTGTTTGTTTTTGTTTTACAGCATATACTGCATCTATACTAGGGGCTATTGTATGTCAGAAGTGTGATTTCTTTCACGCTGCTAACCAACTATGCCAGCAAAACTTTTAAGTGTAGACCAGTCCTAAATCAATAGTCTAGCATGTACATCATTTAAGATAAACATATGTGCACTGCACTGCTCTCAACTCAGATTTAAAATTGCATAGTAGGGATGTTAGATAGCAGGTAACAGAATAGTCAACTAACCACATGAATGCTCAGTGGTTAGTTAACTATATAGTGGGGGGGGGGGGGGGGGGGGGGGGGGGAGGGGCAGGCCAGCAACCAGTATGAGAGGCAGCAGTGCAGGATGCCAGATGGGACCAGTCCACAAGGGGAACCAATTTAAAAACCAGCTCCCCTCGCAGACTGGCTGTCTGCCACCCCGCATTGCGGCCTCTGATGCAGAGGCAGCAGCATAGGATGACATCAACCATTGTCCTTAGGAGGTACAAGCTTCCTGCAGAGAGAGGATGTTGGGAGGGGAAGGGGCTGGGGGAGGCTGCCTCGGCCCCATACCTTGTACCCCCTGTGCAAGCTTCTGTCTGCAGTGAGCCTGGGCCCACAGGGGACAGAGGCTGTTGCCACGAAGCAGCCTCTATCCACTGCAGGCAAAGGCTGCTTTGTGGCAGCCTCCCTGCCACCCTTCCCCAGGCTTCCCCCCATGCAGCTACCTCTATTGGAGGAAGTGGTGCGGGAGAGGGGCAGGCGTCATCGCAAAGCCGGTGCTGGGGAACCAGATTTTATGATGACTCCCCCAGCACCAGCTCCTACTTCCCCCTCCCTTGCTGCCTCTGATACAGAAACAGCAGGGGTGGGGAGGGAAATGCAAGTAGTCGAGAAGATTAACCAATAAGCCTAAGTTCATTGGTTAATCATCTACTCAACTACTCGTTCACATCCCTAATACATAAAACGTTTGTGTGCATATGCACACCTTCTTTGTATGCATATGTGTGTGTGTGTGTGTGTGTGTGCGCGCGCGCGCACACAGAGGAAAGCTGAAAGCTTTTTTTGTCTCCCTTCTATCTGTGACTCGCAACTTCATATTCAACAATAGAGAGTAAAAGCACACAAAAGGCCAGATTTTAAGGAAGGACACCAGATTTCACAGTCCATCATGCATTTTCCACGATTTGGTAGGGCTCTAGCAATAACCCTAAAGTAGACAAGGCTCCCACAGTTTCTGGCAAAGATTTGTTTGCTAATAGAATCAGCAGGGGGGGGGAAACTGCCACATAGCCCGTAGTGCCCATTTACTGAGCATATGTGTCATACTTCAAATCAAGTGGAATACTCTCACAAAGGGCCTATCTTCACTACCAAATTTGAGGAAGGTTTAACAGGATTGTAAAGAAACCAGTTACCTGACACAGTACTGACCATAATTTGTCCTGGTTTACAACCAGCATAATATCATAATTCACACTGTGACAACTAACTGAACTCTTCACTGACATTTTTAAATACAGTTAAGGGTAGTTCGCGGGGCGGGGGGGTTGGTTTTGGGGTTTTTTTTAAATGAATATCAGCTCTGAAATTGTTTTTTAGGTCTATGGAAATTTGTTTAAAATAATGTATCAACTTGATGTGGTATTGGAGCTGTTTTGGTGCCAGACTATTAAAAGACAAGGAGGCTAAGGTAGCATATTTTCTTGAACCAGCTTGTGGTGGTGAAAGAGACAAGCTTGCAAGAAAAGCTCCATGTAAGTTTTAAAGTTTCTCTCTCTCTCTTTCCAACAGAAAATGGTCCAATAAAATATATGACCTTGTCCACTTTGTATCTTTATCACTGACATCTACTTACTTTTTAAAAGTTGTCACTTACAAAGATTACATTTGCCCTTAGACTACTCTGCCAATTACACCATTTTAAATAACATTTTCTTATTTTCAAAAATATGTTTCTCTTCTTTATTACATGAAAGACCCACACATAGAACAAGGGATTTTGCCTAGGTAGGCCAACAGACTCTTTATTGGTGAACTCCTGACCCCATGTACACTCAGTTACAAGACGGGAAGGAGCTGGTATTTCACAGGATGAAACTATGGAACCAACTGTATAAAATGCTGTCAAAGGGAGAGTAAACCTGAGGGCACGTCTAGCCTGTGGCTTCCGAAAGATGATGTTCATTTTCGGCTCGAATTTGCATATCTTCTTCCGGTTTTTTTTCCCCCCAGAAGAAGCTTTTCCGATATTGGGGGGGGGGGGGGGGAGAGAAACCCTCTTATTCCTCCTCCTGAGAGACCTGCCCCCTCTAATGTTTTAACTTTGAAGAACAGCAAGTGACTTTCTTCGCAAAGAGCAGCAGGATTTTTCTTAAAGCTCAGAGACCCCTTTACACCGCTGAAGGCTTTCGACGTTACACCGGACTTGGACAGACCCAGGCTGCGCCGGGGCTCACCCAGCGTTGGGAGAGAAACCCTCTTATTCCTCCTCCTGAGAGACCTGCCCCCTCTAATGTTTTAACTTTGAAGAACAGCAAGTGACTTTCTTCGCAAAGAGCAGCAGGATTTTTCTTAAAGCTCAGAGACCCCTTTACACCGCTGAAGGCTTTCGACGTTACACCGGACTTGGACAGACCCAGGCTGCGCCGGGGCTCACCCAGCGTTTCAGGGCGACACCACCACGAGGTGGGAGCTGGTGACCGGGGCTGCCGCGGTGGAGC